GGCCACCTCATGCGAAGAGTTGACTCATTGGAAAAGACTCTGATGCTGGGAGGAATTGGGGGCAGGAGGAGAAGGGGACGACAGAGGATAAGATAGCTGGATGGTATCACCAACTTGATAGACATGAGTTTGGGTAAACTCCAGGAGTTGGTGATAGATGGGGAGGCCTGGCATGCTTGATTCATGGGGTCACAAATAGTCAGACACGACTGAGTGACTGAACTGAACAATATTATTAGCTTCTTGAACCATAGCCTTTCAAATTTCAGTTGCTGGTTAGCTTGACACCTTTGCTGTTCAACTCATTCTTCACATTCAAAACAGCATAAGGAATGGCTACGTGAACCAACCATAATGGTAGATAGGTTATCAAAGTCAGCTAAATGCTGGCTTTATTTTCTGAACTGATTTTGAACAAAATGTTTCTCTTGAAAGGTCTTAGGCCTCTATCCTCCCAGCTCCTGATCACAGCAATAACCAACCTCCAGAAGTCATTAGTGTAGACAAGAACAATATCCTCCAACAAGTCAGCTATGAAGAAATTGTCATAGTTTATCTCTGATTTGTGTCCTTCTGAAAATAATGGTTTGAAAGATAAAACTACATTTCTTTGTCTTGATCTCTGTTTTTAACCAGATCTTTACAAGTAACATTGGGACTGATTTTTTTTTTTTCCTAACAAAAGTTGAATAACACTCAAAGGTTTTAAGTAGCCAAAGTCCATCTTTAGAAATAGCTTTTCTCTATAATGTACTGCCAACTTCTTATGTGTGTGTATTTTGACCTTCCTGATACCTCTGCTATGGGCTGCTTGTTGATTGGTACATTCTAGTGCTTTGCTTATAAGAGTTGGGCAATAGTTCAGCAATCCAACCCAACTCTGGGCCATAGATAGAAAGGGCTCATCTTCTATTTAAGAAATGTGGCAAACTACATGAAATGAATTTGGTTCAGACAAGGTCTTTGGAACTGTTCATCTAATCTTGTGTGCTTGTATGGAATGGACACTTCTGCTGAGCTCCAAAGCTGAAAGGTAAATAGATAAGAAAGTCAGTAATTTGCCACCCCCGTTAGAGCTCTCCCTGAGTCTATCATTAGATTTACATTCTTAATCATAGCCCATTTTGGCCATTTAAAAGTATTTGCTCATCAGTTCTCGTGATGTCTTTGAAGATAGTCCTGGGAATAATAATAGTGAAATCTTATATAATATTTTGGTCTTTTTTCTAACTTAAAAAAAAATTGAGTATTGAATTTATATGCATATTCATAACAGGTTTATTAAATATTCAGCTAAAATGTCTTGGACATGAAAGAATTAATTGTTAGAATGTTTCACTCTAGCTAACCATTATGTTAAAAACCATAGTAGATTCAAGTATATGTTTGCTCAATTCTGTTTGAGTAATTAATATACACTTGGCAAATTGAATCGATACATAAGCAGTCTATAAACTATTTTGAATTTAGTTACAGACTTCTTGTGTCACATTGTCCTCTTCAAACCATAGAATGTATTTTATTCAACTGTGTTGTAATTCTGTACAATTCGGGGAATCAGCATGTTATAGGATTTTGTAGTAATATAGAGCAAAACAAGACTAGAGAAGCTATTGAATTCACCCTCCTGACTGGAGATAGAGCTGCTTTTATTCCATCCGAAACAGACGAGGATCTTTCCTATTTTTAAATAACCGTGAAGATAGAAATTTCATGACAGCTCTTAGCAATCTACTTGATTATTTACCACTTGTATATTTAGGATGTTCATCCTAAAGTCTTAAATTCTCCACTGGACAGTTTAATATCATTTTGTCCTAGGACAAAAATGCCTATCATTATCCTCTTTACAACCCTTCTTATAGTCAGAAAACTAGGAAGATATACCTCAGCTCTTTCTTTTGTAAGCGATATTATTTCAGTTTTTTTTAAACATTTATTTTTGTTTTTATAGCTCTTTCTGTACACGAATGGAATGAGGGAGTATTTTTAAAAGGTCTGTCATACATGATGCCCCTGAGAAAGGCACTGCATATTTTAATTTCACTGTGCTGATGTGGAAATAGCCACAGCTTTTTCATTATATGCTGATGGACAGAGCATTTGTGTTCATTTAACCTTGAGGTTGAAACTTGTTCCCAAAAAAGTAACTGACTCATAGCATTGGCTAGACCCAAGAATAAAGAGCATCAGTTTTCCTAATCTTAAAGGCTCATCTTGCCCCCACTCTGAAAATGCACTAAAATTAACTTTTCCTTGACCTTTTCTGGTACTATTCCTTTACTTAACAACTTTTTTTCTATCATCTTTGTCTCCTAAAATAAATAGACAGCATTTATTCAACACACATTGGAGGGTCCTGCTGTATTTAGGACACTGTGCTAGGCTCAGGGGCAGAGGTGTCCTGGGCGTGTTCAGGGAGAGCAAATAGTCTGTCACAGTGTGTAAGGAAGCAGTGGTGGGGGAAAACAAGAGAGGTGCATTGGGGCTAGATCCAGATCATGAAAGATCTTGGATTGCTGTTAAACAAATAATTGGTGGTAACAAGGACAGAAGTAACATTTTCCAATCTGTATTATGGAAAGCTCTTATCAAGTCTTTAAAACACAGACTGCGCCCATATTGTCCTCTTGGTTTAGTATCTAACAGACCATCGGGTAAAAGTACCTGCTTAATTTATATCTTTTTATATTAAATTCTGTGTCATAATTTTTCCCTTTGTATTAAAAAATTCAAGGAAACCATTTGAGTAAAGACAGCCTTCTGTTCACACTGATCTGGATGGTTGTTCCTCCTGCTGTGCCCATATTTATTCCAAAGCCCTCTGTACACTAACATGTTACTTTCTGTGTTTATATATTCCAAGAAGTCTGGAGAAGAGTTTGTCCTATAATAGGCACAACTTTTTGTACCAAATGGCATTAATGATGGGTTGTGAGCAGCATTATGACCAAGTGTTTCTACTTGATTGGGCCACATGATAACAATGCCAGATCTTTACAGCATCTCCTGTTTGCATGCATGCTAAGTTACTTCAGTCATGTCTGACCCTTTGAGAGCCTATGGACTATAGCCTGCCAGGCTCTTCTGACCATGGGGTTCTCCAGGCAAGAATACTGAAATGGGTTGCCTTGCCCTCCTGCAGGGAATCGTCCCTGACCCAGGGATTGAACCTGCGTCTCTCACATCTCCTACATTATCAGGCAGGTTCTTTACCCCTTAGCACCACTTGAGAAGCCCTTTCAGTGTCCCTTAAAGAATATTAATGTACTATATAATAAAAGATCCTAGTACAACAATCCATTTGGAATCTATAAAATTATAACTTGGAGAGTTTGAAATATGGAAGGAAAAGTTGTCTGGAGTCAGATTGTACAGAGCTCCTAAACTGTCATCATGTCATCCAGTTAGGTCTGTTTTAGGAGCTGTAAAAAATTGTCCTAAATATATTAAGCAAATTCAGTCCCTGACATTACCTCTTACCCTGCTCTGCCACCCCTCCCAGCCCTACTGATTTTATTTCATTTCTAATTCCTCAAACTTTCTATCTGTAAGAAGCAGGAACACTCGGGGAAATTTGTGTGGGATGGGGTGGAATCTCAAGTTGTATCTCAGCAATGTCTCAGGCTCAGAAATGGTCCCAAATCTAACTGCTGAACTTGAGTTTTTTATTTTTTTAATTAATATTTTTTTATTAAAGGATAATTGCTTTACAGACTTTCGTTGTTTTCTGTCAAACCTCAGCATGAAGCAGCCATAGGTATGCATGTATCTCCTCCCTTTTGAACCTCCCACCCATCTCCCTCCCCATCTCGCCCCTCTAGGTTGATACAGAGCCCCTATTTGAGTTTCCTGAGCCATACAGCAAATTCCTGTTGGCTATCTATTTTACATATGGTAATGTAAGTTTCCATGTTACTCTTTCCATACATTTCACCCTCTCCTCCCCTCTCCCCATGTCCATAAGTCTGTTCTCTATGTCTGTTTCTTCACTGCTGCCCTGTAAATAAATCCTTCAGTACTATTTTTCCAGATTCCTTATATATGCGTTAGAATACAATATTTATCTTTCTCTTTCTGACTTACTTCACTCTGTATAATAGGTTCTAGGTTCATCCACCTCATTAGAACTGACTCAAATGTTTTCTTCTTTATGGCTGAGTAATATTCCATAGTGTACATATACCACAACTTCTTTATCCATTCATCTATCGATGGACATCTAGGTTGCTTCCATGTTCTAGCTATTGTAAATAGTGCTGCAATGAACAATGGGATACATGTGAGTTTTTTATTTTTTAATATTTATGAATTTTGTTGCATTGGGTCTTAGTTATGGCATGTAGAATCTTCATGGTGTCAGGGCAATCTTCCACTTTGTCACAGGGACTCTCCAGTTGTGATGCACAGGAGTTGCGGCATGTGGGCTCTCTAGTTGTGGCACGTGGGCTCCAGAACGTGTGGGCTCAGTAGCTGTGGCTCATGCGTTTAGTTGCTCTGCAGCATGTGAGAATCTCAGTTCCTGACCAAGGATCCAGCCTGCCCCTACATTGGCAGGAAGATTCTTAACTACTGGACCACCAGGGAAGCCCCTGAACTTTAGTTTTTGAATTCTCTCTTTTTACTGATCATTATTTCATCATCTAAATTTTGAAGGTAGGCATTATTCAGAATTATCATAGTATTTTAAGGAATGGTAAAGCATCACTATGATATTCCTATTGTTCTTCTCAAGATGGTCTTGAAAAGCAGGCCCCCAAGATATGAATGACTATTTGTGGCATTTATAGTCAGTCTCCTTAAGACCAAGAAACTTGCAGGAGACCCCTGAGTACCTAATGGGAAATTGAGCATGCTTTGTATGCACATCTGAATAACCCTTCCATCTGACTTTAACTTGTAAATCTTTTGCCAGGTAGAAAATAGAGAATTAAAAACCTCCAAATTCAGGGTGCATGAAATGTCATTAAATCTAGCATAAAATTTCTTGAATCTGTCAGATAAAGGAAATCATGTATCCAGAGTGAAGATGGAATATCAATTGACAAGAATCTATGAAGCTGGCACTTATTCTGAGAGACATACGAATCTAAAAATCCAATAATGCCTCTTCCTTTGAAAACACTGGAAGCCAGAACGGTATTAGGAAAATCAATAAGGTAAAAATCTTCATCCGACTGTTTGGAATGACTCCCACATAAGAATTAATTAACACAATACTTCTAGAACATGAAAAGAATGTTAAACTGTTATCTCTACCCATGGAAAACAAAGATATAAACCCACCTAAATACTAGAGAGAGTAGTTGGAAAAGAAAGATTGGAAGGATTAAAGGCATGTCTAAGAGGTCATTTCTGTCCTATTGTCACACCATTTACCCTATTCAGATAGAAGGATAAGTGTTGAACTTTAGTTCATCTGAATTCCTCAGCTCTGTCATCAATGCTGTGACACATTCTAATTTTCTGATTCATTTGTGATGAATAAGTTCTCTCTTTTCTATTCACAATGCTAAAAGTAACCAGTTTTTGTGAGTTATGATTATTTCCCATTTTTTTTATTGTACTATTATTTTCCCTTAGCAAGTTTCTCTCACTCTTTACCAGCCAGTGTGAACCCCACTTGCAGAAAAACCCCTGCACAGTACCATTGCCTAGGCTTGGAGTTTAGTCAAGAGGAATGAGAGACCGACACCCTGGGCTCCTTTTTTAATCCAGCCAGTTACCTCAACTGGCAAGTGGCTCAGCTTCTGCCCATAAAATAGGTGTAATATTAACAATAGCTTTACCTTACCACCATCTAATATGTAGAATCCAAATCAAGCCAACTATGTCTCCTTCCAAAGAAGAAGCCTAAACTAGCCTAACAAATTCCTGAATTAGTCCAGATGTCAAGGGCAAACATAAAGAGAGAAATACCTAGAGGTATGGGAATTTAGGATTTATAAATATATAGACTTTGGAACAGTACAAACTTTTTAAATCCAAGAAACTATCTGATTTAAGGTGAGTTTTCTAATTTCTAAAATGTCATTTTTCTCTGGTAAAGTAGAAGTGACAGTATATACTCTTGTAGTCAGGATTAAATGATATACTGTTAGAGCTGCTTTTTAAACTCTTCTAGGCAGGCGATCCTCAAGCTAAGGTGAGCATCCAATATTCAGGGTGCCTGATGCCTAAAACAGCATGCCACAAATTAGGCTTTCAGCAAAATCTCAGGTTTCATCCTAAAAATATGTACATATTCTGCTTTCTGCTCCTCAACATATCCTTGTTTGCTTCACCAAACTGGAAGTTCCATGAGGACAAGAACAGGGTCTGTTCTTTTTGTGTATAACTTTCAAGAAGTAGTTATTGGATAAATGAGTACATGTACAAATAAGATTTTTGAATTACTTAGCCACAAGGACAACTGACTCTCTAAAAGAGACAGCCACATCTTTATTATTTATTTTGTGGATTTGCATACTTGTCAGACTGCTCCACTTCCCTGGGTATGCCCATATTCAAATCGAAGAACATTTACTTAGGATACCTGAAACCACAGAAGGTCTTCAGTGAATGGTACCTCTTATTATCATTCCTTTGCTCATTATTTCCTCTACCTTATTGTCCCTAAGGCTCTATGGCCTTTCTCATAAAGTTGTCAAGGACTAGGAAAGTCAGAGTCTGGAAGTCCTGTGAAGGAGTCTGTGTGTCTCTAGCCACACATACTTACCCATGTAGTATGCTCCATTTTCATACATTTCATTTACTCCTGGCTTTAACTGTATAGCACCTTGTTAAAACATCCTAGAAGTGATGAGCAAGGGAACTGAAAGAACATTTTCTTCCCTCTCCCTTTAGGCTGAGGGTTACTAACCTGGAATTCTTAGAAGACCCCCTTGGAGTTTGGGAGATGCTTGAAACTTGTTACTTTGAAAGAATTTCTGGGAGGAGAGATTTTCATAGGGATCTGCATCACCTCCAAAAGTTGGGAATCATTGCCCTGGAACATTACATACACAGAAATCAGAATGGACTAATCTTTCAGTTACAGTTAATAATTCTTTTACTTCCTTGGAGCCTGATACTATATAATAATTCTACTCAGATATCATAAAACTAAAATCAGACTTAAACCCTCTCCCTCTCTCTACTCTTGCTTCCCCTACTGTTATAAGGCCCTGATTCATTTGGCCTTTACAGTTCTATACTCTTTGCTAGATATTTGTGCTTTGAATCCAGCATGCTTAATGCAAATGATTTTAATCTCACGGAAAACTACTGTAGATAATTATTTGCATTTCAGATGAAAACAATATACAGACATACAAAGTTAATATCACTTAGGCAGAAAGGGCACATATCAATAAAATAACAATTTGAGCTAAACAAAAATAAATCCATGCAGATTAATACACATTTTCAAAATTGCATAGCAGATTGTAATTCAATCAAAAAAACAGGGGCCTTTTGATGTTTATGAATGTTTATAAATTATAGAACTCTGAGATTAAATTTTTAGCCTTAATATTAAATTTGGTATAGATATTGATTTTCATTAATACATAAAGACAACAATTATATCCAATAAAATCTTTAATTTAACTTGGCTTTAATTTGTCTTAGACTGTGACATACACACTGTGAATTCTCTCTCCATCTTGGATTCCTGTCATTGACAGCCTGTGTGTCATTTGACATCCAGGAAAGATAGTTTTTCATTCCAGACCTTGGATATATTAGTCAATCTGGGTATAATTTACATTGATCTCTTTTGATCACATCAAAAATTTAATTTTGACTGATTAACTTTTATGAATAAATACTCCTTGAAATTTAGAAAGTTGTATGCTTAGATATAAGAACATAAATACTGAGTATAGTTCAAAAAGAGCATAATTATTACTGAGACTTATTGGATTTATAACATACAACAGAAAAATAAGCGAGCACACTGCATAGATTGACCACCAATCATATTTTTTTCCATTTTTTCAAAGGTTGGGAAAGAAAGCAAGCTCAAAAATATTGGGGGAGCAGGCGGGAAGGAAAGAAAGGAGAAAAGAAGAGAAGAAGAAAGGAAAAATACTTTAAAAGATGCACCAGTGTGATAGTCTAAGATCCCAGCTTGTAGACAGGACTAGAATGTAGCAAAACTTAGAGATTTAAAGTCTTTGAAGCTAGTTGGTAGACACACATATATATTTCAAGTTTGTGTGTACTTTCAATGAATCATACGTAAGTTAATTATCTTGCTTAAAATTTTCATTAAGCTCATCAATTTTGTGAAACAGTTTAAAAGCATTGGAGACCCCCAACCTCTCTTTATGGTCCAAGCTGCAGATTTTCAACTTAACTCTTCTGGTCCAAAGAGGTGAATACCATCCTTCACTGCTGCATGTTCAGGGAACAGGGTTTCACCTAGTCCACAAAAAGAAAAATGTATTCTTTGGAGGAATCTCTACGATGGTGTATTTGTCCAGAAAACTTGCTGAGAAGTGAAGCTCTAATTTCCAGTTTTCTGCTTTAGCCTTATTCTATGCTAATTTATTTAATCAAGTCTTTCTACTTGAGCTTTTTAAATACAGTTTGTTTTGCATTTTTCTGGAGGCTTTATGTGAAGTGGATAAAACCATAGTGTCAGAGACACAAAAATTCAACCAGCGCACTTTAAGTCCTTGACATGTTTGAGTGAGGTGGGATAAGGAGACCTGCTTTGTCTTCTCAGTATCCTTGTTTGGTTTCTTCTCTTGGATCTTCTGTTACTTCAGTTTTATTTCTCTGTAAGAAAAGCTATCAAAACACTAGTGAGCAGGCCAGTCCATTAATTGCTTATTTGGCTTGTGTGTTGACAATTACAAAAGAAAATTATCAGACTTGAAATATAGAATGAGAAACTGTTAAGGTCAACTCCCCCCAAAACTGAAGTGTTTTTTTTTTTTCCTCCTTTTACATTTATTTAATTTTAATTGAAGGATAATTGCTTTACAATATTATATTGGTTTCTGCCTATGTTGATTCATGTTGATGTATAGCAGAAAACTGAAGTTTTATTATTAGAAATGCATTTTGGGGGACAGATGCTTTCATTTAAAATCCTTTAGTCAGAGGACACATTCCTAGCCTGGTGCTGTGCAGCAGACAAGGCAGTAACCACTGTCAGTTAATGACTGACAGCACGTGGAGGTTTTAAATTTATCCAAAGCATTAAACATACTAAATCTACCCTTCAAAGAAGCAAAGTCTATGAGTTTGATTCACCTTTGTCAAAATTAGCTAAGATTTATCATGTACAACATAGTCAAGCTTTTACTTGTTCTCATTGTGCTACCCAATAGCTATTTATGCAACGATAGAAATGGTCTATCTGTAAGACAGCCACCAGCCACAGGTGGCTGTGGAGCGCTGGGGATGTGACTAGTAGACTAAGGAACCAAACATTTAATTTTTTATTAAATTTTAAGTATTTTACATTTAAATACGTAGATACGGCTAGTGCTACTATATTGAACAGCACAACTCTAGAAAATGTTCATATGATTCCGATCAGAATAAAGCTGACAAAGAAAGAGGTTACCACCCCTTCTACATTGATCAGACAGCAAGAGGCCACATCTTTGGACATTTTATGAGGCTGAATCTTGGGCTTCAGGTGACAAAATGGGCTCTTTCTGCTCATGCTTTAGGAGAAGTCCTGTCTAAACTTAATTTACTTTCCTTCTCTCCACAATATCATTGGGTTTATTTTTAATTCCTTGTTTTGTCTTTGATTTTCAGTTCCTTGACCATCAGCCTGTGGCCTGCCCCTTCTCTTTGTGTAAGTAAAAATGGTTTCTTTACTTTTCAAAAAAAAAAATAGTGCCAGATTTGGGAAATTTGAGTCTTTATTGGCATGTTTTCCAGTTGACTTTGTTGTGGTTTCCAGTGCGTCTTAACTGTGTGTTAGCTTCTTTTGTGTTTGGAGTCGATGCTCTTGGTGATCGTAGTAGTTGCCATCAGGAGGGGGCTGAAAAGACCAGCAGCCCAAGCCACTGGACCTGTATTATATAAAGACTGCCTTTGACTTGGCCACAGCTGCTGTTTGCAAAAGTCACTGCTCTTCTAGACTACAGCTTACATTCTTCAGTCAGATACCAGCAATAGTTGGGCTTTTGCTCTGCTGTCAACCAATGGGCAATTATTTATTCTTCAGTTATACACCCATCTCTAGGTTCAATAGCTTTTCACTTCAACTTCTAGATCAGAGGTTTCATTTTTTGTACAAAATTTCTAATATCCTTTTACAGGAAGTATAAGACTGAAGTATAAAACTTCAGTCATTTAGGCTGAAATCCTGTGAAATTGTAAAGTCCAGGAAAAAAAGAGAGAAATCCAGGATTACATATGTTAGGAGGTTTATAGAAGGTACCATTCTCTTTTTAGAAAAGATGGGAAGTCATTTGGGGAAAAATAATAACTTGATTTCAGATGACAAGAGAGAATATTTATTATTTAAAGCCCAAATTATGCTGCACTGAGTTGGTTTGGATAATTGAAAGAGATTCTGGGGCCATGAACCCAAATAATCAAAGTCACTGCATAAGACACTACCCAAGTGATGCTACAGGTAGTGGCAGTCACCTCACGTGATAAATATAATCAGCGTCCTTCCAGCTGCTTCTCACTCTCTGGTGAACACTGTCCCCTATTCACAACATTCTGTCTTACTTCACTGATGCCTTCGCACTGCGAGGTGTTTCTTGTGTTGCAATCATTCGCACAGAAAGGGTGTTCCCATGGCTCTTTTGCTTGTATGTGGCTTCCACTCACATTCCTAGAAGCGAGTTGCAAATATATTTAGGGGAACAATATCCTCCAAAGGATGCTAAGGCTAAAGTCTAAAGTGACAGTTATTTGACAGAGAAAGGAGATTGATTAAACTCCCCAAAGACTGGTGCTGTGTGTAATGCATTTATACAGCAGGGGTGGGTCCTCTCTGCCCCTGACAAGTCTTGTTATTCCTCATTCTCGGTGTTGATAGAGTGGGTCTGTCAGTGCTTTGGAGGGTGTCAGCATGCATGCTTGTGGTTACCACTTTACGTCTCTCTGTCCCTACTCCAGTTACCTAGCACTGTGTATTTCTAGTCCTCTGACTGGCAAATCATTTTTGTTACAGTTCTTTTGTGTAAAAACAGTTCACATAATAGCTGTGTGTTAGACAAGGCATTAATCCTCACATCACCAGGGATGAGTCAGCACCGTGCACTCCTGCTCTCCCGGCTCAGCTATTATGACGTCAGCACTGGAGGGCAAGCTTCAGACACAAGCAGTGCAGGGGCCTGGAGACCTGGGTCACAGATTAGAAATCGAGGGGAGACCTTTGAGATAAAAAAACATAATTGAAAGGCTGTGCCTGGCTCATAGGAAAATGTGAAACTGATTTTTTACAACATCAACCATCAATCTGGCAGCTTCTAGAGAGATCCGATTTGTAACCAAAGATAAGGCTGAGCAAATGATCTGGAATGGACTGAGAGCCCATCCATGCACCCACTAACCTTTTCCCACTTCTCAAGCCAGGCTTCATGCTTGCTTAGATTGTTTCAAATCCTGAGACTGCTTTTATTTCAAGGGTGACAGGGCCTGTGACAGTTCTGCTGATCTCAAGTGCCCACAGACACAGCTGATGTCTCCAGACGTGGTGCCCCAGGGGCCCATCAGAAGGAGAAGAAAAGTTCCCTGGGGACAGGTGAAAACATTATCCCTTAGCACTTATAGCTCCTAGTGCCATTGAATGGCCTCCTCCAGGCAGGTGCAACATTCTGCCTGTTTGAATTTTTTCTCCTTGGCACTGCCTTTAGTCCAAAGTCCTAGTCTGGATTTGACATAGATTTCAATAGGAGCTGAATAGCTTCCAGACTTTCCCACAAAAGTGTTTCATCCCATTTGTCTTTAGCAGAGAGGAGCCCTCCATGACCTGCCATGCTGCCTTGAAGTAGATAGCACAGACTCACCCTATTTGAGAACCAGGTTCATATAATGTAGAACTGTCCATAGTTCAAACTCAGATGCATTCTCAGAACAGTACCTTTCCATATTGAAAACTAAATGTTGAAAAGCCTGAAAATTCACTGCCTACCTTCTCTGTTAACAAGACATCACACCCTCGATCCCTCACTCTTCCTTTCACCCAGTGATAACCATCCAAAGTGCCTTACTACTGGGGTCTTCTGCCTTTTCTGGATTGTTTGGAGGCTCCTATCCTGCTTGTAGAAGCTAATACTACTGCTTAGCTTAGGTTTTGATGGATTATCACGTACGGCTCTTTATTCAGTTTTTAGTCAACAAACAATGATAGGAAACCAGTCACCATGCTTGGTTCTTAAAACTGCTAAATAAATAAGAAATGCTCCCCATTGTTAAAAATCTCAGCCTGATAGGGAGATATACATAAACAAAGGCCATGCCATGTGATGGCCACTGGAATGGAGGTATACAAGATGTAGCAAGGGAACAAAAAAGAAGCAGGAGCACCTGCCTGCACATGGGAGGTGCCCAAGCTGAACCTAAAAGTCTGAAGAGTGAACTGTAGTTTACCAGGTGAATATGGAGGGGGGTGGGGGGAACAACAAAAAATCATAATCAGAAAAAAAGCCAGCGCAAAGGAGGTGACACACAGCAGTCAGGTTCTGAGATATTGGCTAGAGTTTCGTGACTGAAGGAGATCCTTTCAAAGGAGATGAGGCTGGAAAGTAGGCAGGAGGCAGATCATGGAAGGTCTTATATGCTGAGCAAGGAGTTTGGACTTGAAGTAACAAGCTTGGTGAGGCTTTGAAGAATTTTAAGTAGATTTATGTTTTAGAAAAAGAGCGGTCTGGTGACTGAGAAAAGGGAGAGCAGGTCAAAGATGAAAACCAAGGGCTTCAACTGTGCAGTGGGGCTGGGAAAGGAGAGGAGAGGCAACTGGGTAGTGTTGACATAGACACTGTTTGCCTAACGCCAGCCTGGCTTGTCCCTGTGCACAATCCTTGCCTTCTCAGATGAAGGGTCACGTGTTGTGTGGGGCCAAATTTCAGGTGAAATGTTCCTTTACAGTCCCTTCACTGGAGACCTCAACTTGAGTTGGGCCTACTGGTCTCCAGAAATATGTGTTTCCTTCTCTCATAGTGGCCTTGGCAGGCCAAGAAGGAGGAGACGGGAAATTGCCAGTCTGGCTTTTCCCTTCTTTCACCTGAAAATGAAACCAGTTCTTAATAATATCCTCCTAAAGTCGATCAAAGCTCCAATTCCTATCATTTTCCCATTGCTGCCCTTTTCTGAGAAGTTCCAAGCTATTGAGCTAAATTGCAACTTATGCACAGCCGAGTGTTGAAACAATGCAGTATATTTGTTCCTTCTTTCTGAATTAGAGTTCACCATAAGTGTGCTTTTCTCTTGTTCACTTTGGGCTGCCAGGACGATTTAAAGGAAGTTTTCAACAGCTTCTGTTGCATGTACCATGTTCTCTTCAGCAAATGGGAAGATATGTGTGGGTGTGTATAAGTCTTCTCTGTATTACTTTCTGGAGAAATGTTTGCTGAGATGAACAAGATAAGGAGTAGGGACCTATTGAAAGCCCAGGTCCCCTCAGTGACCTGAGTGCAGAACGTAGGCTGGTGATCAGATGGTCAATTATGTGTTTGTCAAAACACAGTGGGCTGCATTCCAGACTGCCAGCTTTGGAGGCCCAGCTTCTGCCAACCAAATGTCATCTGGGAACATGCAACACTGGGCACTGTGAAGGAGTTTGAAATAGACCATGCCACAGCCAACCTACTGCCAGTCTTATAGCACCAATATGGCATGCACAGCCGGGCCCCGTGTTTCAGAGCTCAGGAATTCACTGTTCTAAATTCAAGAGGTCAGATGGGTTCATGTTTTCAAAGCCTATGTTCTCTGCTTTGAACATTGTGACTTGCTCCTCAGTGATTTCCAAGTGATTTTTTCCAGTCACATCTCTGTGGAAACCACTCTTTTTATGATGGTTATGAGAGCCTTGTAAATGTCCCAGAGGAGAGAAAAAAAATAAACTTGCTCTGACAATGACTATGAGATTCTGATAGAGGGATTCCAAGTCTTAGGAAATTACATGAAAGGTGCATAGCTTTTAAAATATCAGGAACCACCTTGGCAACTTATAAAAAGCAGAAGGGCTTTGCCTATTTTATAAAGTGATTTGCATATACCTGCATAAATAATGTCCCCACCTGTACTTTTATGCATTTAGGTTGAATAAATTAAATTCAGTGATCTTTAAAATATTCACTGTCTTTCATTGCTCAGATATCATTATCAGGACCCTTCCTCCTCATTTTTTTTTTCCCTGTAGTCGTAGTGGCTATTTTTTTTCTATCTTTGATTCAGAGAATCAAAACACACTGCAGACCAGTCTACCAAAGCCAGGAGTATTACCTCTCTCTGTCTCCATTCCTTTTAGCCTTTCTACCTAGTAAACAATGCTTTCCATAAGCTTTTCATAAAGGAAATGGGGGAGTATATTACTAAAATGAAAACATAGCACAAGCTAGGATTCAGAATCATATTTAGTGAAGAGTTAAAACATAAACGAGCACAGTGCCCTTGTGTGTTCTTAAGAAACTTAAAATTGAGTTACGAAAAGAAGCCATACTATTGAGTGTTCCATATGCACAGAAGATAATAACAATTCCAAAAGGAATGATATACTCCAATAAGTACTATAGGATTTCATTCATGAAAGAAAACTTATGGGCTGGAAAACATCATGTAAAATGCGATTTTTGTTGTTGTTCAGTTGCTAAGTGGTCTCCAACTCTTTGT